TTCAGCAACGCAAACTCCCAAGGTCTCGTGGTTGCTCCCCACATTTTCAGTTTCAGAATCTTCGCTATATCATTTTACAAATTTTCTGCATGTTTAGGTTGATGAACTTATCAAATCTTCGCTCCGTACGGATGTCGTCCGAATAGGTGTCGACAAAAAGCCTGCAGAAAACGACGGCGAACTAGCAACTGTTTCAGGCCTACAACAGGTTGTGCTTTTTCATGGGAATTACTCGTCTGACTTCTATACAGTTAAGCCCGGCGAACATTCGGATGGTTTTAACTATAGAGTATTGTAGGAAAATCATTCAAGGGCAAGCTAAATGAAGGGCCACTCAGATGCAAAGTGATGGGATCGCGTCGTGAAATTTCTTCAGGAAGAACAAAGATGCATAAAGGGACTTGCAGCTTCGATTATGCGGTGACATAGGTGGCGCAAAATGGCAGCTCATCGGAGCATCGAAGCAGCACTTTAAGCTCCCTGCATTTATTGTCTAGAACAGGCACTATTTCATCGAAACCTGAGATTGCAGGGTTACGTTGTTTGTCCGTCGGATAAGCGATTTTTGTTGCTGTTCACTTTTCTGAAAAAGAATCGCGAGAAAAAAGTGATGGTATTTTTCTCGTCATGCAACTCGGTGAAGTATCATCACGAGCTGCTCAACTACATTGATATTCCCGTACAGTGCATACATGTAAGATTTTTAGACTTTAAAATGGTCGATTGTTGCCGTCCTTCGGCTCATTCTCGAACATTTCCTTGTTTTTTAATAGTATGTAATGCGGAAAGGGTTTACGCCCTGGTTTCTTTTTGAAAAGGAAGGGGACGGGGTTTGAATAAAGAATTGATTATAAAATGCCATTTATGCTTGAGCAGGGACTGTGTTTTCCTCAAAAATTTCTTATTTTGTAGGGTAAACAAAAGCAGCAAAAACGAACATGCACATTCTTTTCATTTTGCCAAGCGAAATCGGGCATTCTGCTCTGCACAGATGTAGCTGCTCGCGGTCTCGACATACCACAGGTCGACTGGATTGTGCAGTATGATCCACCAGATGAGCCACGTGAATACATCCATCGGTAAGTAATTTTGTTTGCTTTTGCTGTGCTTAGCGAAAAACACTGCATGGAGTGGGAGAGAACGCAAATTTCAGCAAAATTTATGCTTATTTTCTTACTGAATTACTCCCAGAACCTGTTTTTGGTACTTTGGACAACTGTAGTGTTTGGCTGACGCGCTTTTTCTCATTACTTCAGATAATTTTCTCATTCTCCGTTTTACGCTTGCCACATCCACCTAATTCCGTCGTTCCAGCAGTTATTTATGATTGTGACGGTGTTATTTAGTAACCCCTTTTGTTCATCTGTTTGTCACTTACATCACGCATACAGTTTGATTCTTGACCTACATTGCCTTCACAACTTCATTCTGGTCAAACTGGGACTGCATTACTCCACTGAAGATAGAACTAGGTTTTGTTCTTTCAAGTGACAATAGGCTACTGAAGCGTTGTACGAAAGTGAAAGTGGTCTACAACATCAAATAACGTGGCTAGTTGTGATCTGTTGCTCTCTTTCATGATAAGTTGTTCATCTTGTTTCCATTGAAAAGGAAGCAGTCAGTATACACAGTCTCATAGTTCGAGAGAGAGAAATCGCAGACGAATGTTTCTTTACGCTCGGATATGCGGAGGAAGGTTCTGTGACAAACACCCAGTGAGCAGCTCTATGCTCCACGAAAGAATCGGGGAGGGGA